CAAAAGAGAAGGTGCTGGTAAGGTTGAGTTTCCATCCAGCCCTTCCACACCAAATTGGAGTTAATAAAGAGTACTCCAAAACGACTTGACAATCTATATTTTATTTACATGTCCTTAGAATGCGAGTTGTTTTTTCTTTTCTCACTATTAACTTTGTATTTATTAGAGATTGTATTAACAAGTTGAGAAAGACAACACTAACTGTTTAGATCTAAATAGTCATTGATATATTAATACGTAGCACATGGGTTTCATTATTGTCTTCTTTTTATAAAAATAGAGTAAACATAAATAATTTGATTTTTTTTACTTCCGTAATGTTACCTAGAATATTCAAATAAATTTTAAATTTGTTTCAAAATAATCTTTCTTTGAACTCTATTAAAGTAGGATGGAAGTAGGATGGAAATGAGTGAAGAAGAATGGTTGAATAATTGTACAAATGATCTAATAAATTAATTAATTTTGTTGCGTTGAAACCCTATCAAATATAGAACTAAAAACAAAGACACAAATCATTTTCAAAATTTAGAGATCTATAAGAAACAAATAAGATACTATTATTCTTTTTAAAGTTCATATATTTATAACACACAAATCTTAAAAAATTTGTGGTCCCATGGTCTAGTGGTTAGGACATTGGACTCTAAATCCAGTAACCCGAGTTCAAATCTTGGTAGAACCTTTTCTGTATTTTTTTACTTAAAATTCACATACATAATAGATAAAAAGTTAGAACTTGTTTAGAGATCTATACGATATATACTTGGAAGTGTATAAAAATATTATTTATTTTATTTTATGAACATCTATGGTCCCATGGTCTTTGGAAGTGCATAAAAATATTAGTTATTTTTTCAATTTCATAAATTTATAAGACAAATTTTATGAACACCTATGGTCCCATGGTCTTCGCCTTGAGCATTTCTCCCCTCGATTTCTTTATAAAACTTAAAGATGATGATGTCTTAAAGTGCATGGTCTTAATTTTGGAATTTGATCCTCCGTCTGCAACTTATTCAAGAAAGCAGAATTTTGTTTCCTTAGGCAACCTTATCTAAGACGTATTAACTCTCGATTTCTTCATTAAAAGCGCTCAACCTAATCTTCTAAAGCTAAAGAAAGGGTCAATTTTGAAGAAAATGGATTGTAAGTAAGACTTCGATCCTTGCTCCAAAATTTTAAACGAAAATAATTTTCTTCAATTGGACTTGCTCTGAGTCTTCGTGGTCTTCTATGGAAATATTCCTTGGAGGTTCGAAAATCGAAGATGATAGGTTTCTTGAAAAATTTTCATGTAGCCTCTTATTTAATTTTCGAGCTTCAACCATCTTCCTTTAAAGACGAACCAAATTGAGAAGTTGTGTTTGAGGCACCTTCAACACTTTATTTCATGACCAAACTTGTGGGTAGTCTCATTTAGAAGGTGCAAAAGCAGGTTTGAAGGAAAATGATTGACTATGGCTCTCAAATTTGGAAGAAATCTGCGAGTAAGAAACCCAAATTATCAGAGGCTATAACAACTCACAGTTGAAGGTTCGACTTAGCTCGATTCTTGCTCCAAACGAAAGCTCCTACTTCAGGATTTATAGAGAGAGCTTAAATCGATATATGAGCTACTAAGTCAGGAATTCACACTCCTTAACATTTGTTTTAGAGAGCAATAGCTCAAGTCATTAAGAGGAAAGAATGGGCCCACACGATATATGAACATTAAAAGTTGATCTAGATAGTTATTAAAAAGAAAAAAAAACATGCATACATATAGAAACAAGGGTTCCCTCAAGCATATGAACCAAGAAGGCAAGGTTAAAAGGTTTTCTCGGAGTTCGACATCGTTGTGTGAGTTAGAGTGATGTTGTTAGGCTCACTAATTTCCCATAGCTTAAGTAATTTTTATGAATCAAATATTGAACAAGGTTTCTAGACTTGTTTTATAATAGTCTTCATATCGATTCGAGGAAGCTAATCTGAGACAAAAAAGATAACAAGATGAACCCTTAAGCCAACTTGATACCTCTATATAAAGAGGGCGGATTGTGAGATCCCACAACAGTTGGAGAGTGGAACATTCTTTATAAGGGTGTGAAAATTTCTCTATGCGTTTTAAAAGCTTAAGGTAATCCAGAAAATCCAAAGAAGACAATATCTGCTAGCGATGGGTTTGGGCTATTACAATGTGCAAAGCCACGAGAACGTGTCATCAGACAACACACAATTATAAAAAATGATGGTAAGTCCACTTACTTGGTTAGCCTAAGCTGAAGCTACTACGACCATTTGACGTTAGCTTAATGCTGGCCTCTAAATTTTAATTTTGCCCAAGAAGTCCAACAATTATAAATTAAAATTCTACTATTGAAATTAACTCACCCATAAAATAATTTAAACTTACTCATAAGTATATAAACTAACTAAACCTACCTGTGCATTAATAATATAATCTTGATCCTAAAAATTTAACTAGCCAAAAGGTAGTCATACTAATTTAAGCATTTGAAAATTTGAAAGAAGAAAGGGTACGAGCGTATCAAACCCAAGCCGGATCAGTAAATTATTGAACTAGAGCCGTCAAAAAACATATTCTTTGACTAACTTTAAACCGTTCAAGTGGGCTTATGAAATGAAGTGATGGACCTCCCTTTTACCGTTGGGCAATACCATTAATTTTCTTAATAATATCTTTTCATGATACGGGGTTACAAGACTACGAACTTTAAAGATAATGTCTTAAAATTGGAAAGTTTTGAAGTTTTATTAAGCATAAAATTATGTAACCTAAACTCGATTGGTTAGATTCGGAGCTATTGATCTGCAATTTGCATAAATCCTTTGTTCCATTAGCTAAGTTTGTTAGAATGTCGCGCTAATTAAGTGCGAAGGTGGCAGGTTTGCCACTTGGATGAGTCAATTTCATTAATTCTCAATGATATCTTCAATGATACGGGTTAAAGCACTACAAACTTTAAAAGATAACAACCTAAAGTTTTAAGTTTATTATGCATAAAATTATGTAACCTAAACTCGATTGACTGGTTTAAGGGCTACTGCTCTGCAATGAGCATAAAACTTGTGGCCTATTAGATTAGTTGGTTAGAACGTCGTGTTAATAACACGAAGGTTGGATGGGCTAATTTCATAATGACTTAAAATTAGAGAGTTTTAAGTATTATTATGCATTAAATTATGTAACCTAAACTCGATTGGCTAGATTAGGAGCTACGGCAGGTTTGACACTTGCATGGTCAATTTCATTAATTCTCAATAATGATATATTTAATGATATTAGATTTAAAAGATAATCACTTATAGTTTTAAGTTTATTGTGCATAAAATTATGTAAGCGAAACTCGATTGACTAAATGAGGAGTTACCGATCTACAATGTGCATAAGGCCTATGGCCTATTAGCTCAGTTGGTTAGAACGTCGTGCTAATAATGAGAAGGTCATTGGTTTGACACCTGCATGGGCTAATTTCATTTATTCTTAATAATATCTTTTCATGATACGGGGTTACAACATTACGAACTTTAAAGATAACGACTTAAAGTGTCACGACCCGATTTTCGAGGCTTCGAAAATCAGACCGTGAACCAAAAGACGAAATCGAAAACAAACAAAAAGAAAATAGAAGAAAAGAAAACCAAGGTAAAAATATAAAAATACTTTGAATTAAAACAAAAGAGAGAAATTTCCTTGGTTAATTATTACAAAAGAAATTGCAAATACAAAAGACTCTAAAAGACCGAAAAGGGACTGACGCTCCGAAACGACCCCCTCTGTGACTGTACAACTCTCAAATGCTTCTCTACCTCGACCAGCAGCCAGTGAACACCTGAGAAAAATAAATGAGAACGGGATGAGTATAAAAATTATACTTAGTAAGCCACCTACTTGTAGGCTCTCTTCGCATCTTAATTTAACAGAACTCCCACGGTTTCCTAATTCGGTTCTAGGACCTCGGGTTCTAACCTTAGTCTCTTGGGGCTTGCCCCTTGAATTTCACCGGTTTATCGTCCTTTCATTAGTCACCTAGCGGTTCCTTATGCCAAGCTAATATGGTCGGTATCTCTCTATGAGGCGCTACCTCTACATGGCTATCTAGAACTACATGGTACCTAGCCTAGGGGTGTGCTGAATACCCCTACGCCCATGTAGTCCTCCTATGGGGGGGCGTGACCCAACCCGTTCCCATGCAGCTAATGGGCTGTACGACGTGGGGACACATTTCCCATGCGAAATGGCTAAGAACAGTAAGGACTGATCAGGGACCCTTGGTCCTACCACGAAGCTATAGATACCGTTCTCACGCTAGCAACCTATGAACCCCCTTAGGTACTTCCTTACCGTGGTAAACCGCTAAGTTTCTAGGGGAAAATTAAGTCTGTCTAAAGCAGCATATCGCTCCTAAAAGAAATTCCCTAATCTTATCATAGAAATGGGCCTAGCAATTAACAGAGGGTGCATGCAATCTTCTTCTAACATCATAGTATGTAATTCATGCAAACTAGGCATACCGGCTCAACGGGACGATGACCTCCATCACGCACCCAGAGCACGAGGTTCGCGTTCAATGGGGCAAATTCGTCCATCGAGCACCCAAAACCCGGCATACACAATTCTAACATAAATTAAACGCATGCATACGTACAACGGAAGCTTAAAGCATACAAGCAACACTCAGATAATTCACCCAACACATCATAACAATCCATCTAATTAATCTCATTCATGGAGAGCTAATTTAAGGCAAAATTACTAACATGCATACATACAATCCAAGCGAACCCTACAAGTATTTCTTCCTAAATACCGGGTGGTGACTTACCTGGTTGACGCGTGCCCCTTCGCTAGCGTTTCTTAGCCCGTGATGTATCCAAAAGTACTGATTTCTTTAAATTAGGTCCCTATTCACGTAAGAACAGTATTAGAACTGGAACCAGGACAAAAGTCGGGCAAACAGAAAGCAACCGGGCCAAATTGGTCGTTCCACGCGCGCTCACGCGCCAGCAGCACACTGGGAGTGCGTGGCCACGCGCGCGGGAAGACGCCAGTCGCAGGCTGCACGCCTGCCACGCGCGCCCGCCTCCGCGTAGTCGCGGGTCGGCTCGGCTCGCGTCGCGATTCGGCCCGGCTTGCGGGCGACACGTGTCGACGCATCGCTGGAGCTGCGTTGCTCCAGCCGATGGTCGACGCGTGTCCGGCGCCTGTCGCAGCCGTCCGGCGCCTGTCGCCACCATCCGCCGCTCGCCGGCCGACTCCTTTCTTCTTTCTTCTTCTCCTTTCTTCTCTGCCCTCTGAAAACCGAAACACAACCTTCTTTTCCGATTTTTATATCTTTCGATCCGTAGATCGGATCGACATGATTCCTTCGACAAAGTTTTAGATCGTGTTATTAGCTTTATCCTCGTATTTTTTCGTAATTTTTGATTAACTACCGGACGAGTTAAGAAGATCGGACTTTCACTCACCGTTCTCGGACGACTCGCGGATCTCCGCCTTCGGGTTGAGGTCTCGGCCAAACTTCTTCACAGATCATGCGTAGAGTTGTTCCCAGATGAATATATAAGATTTGAGATCTTGATTCACAAAGGGAAAACCGTAGATCTGAGAAAACGTTCAAGATCCTTACCTTGCGGGTTTTCCGACTTCTTGATGAAAAATGGGAGTCCGGCCACCCACATTCTCTTTTCCCTTCCAAGAAAGTCTCTCTGCATGATCTTCACCTCCTTGCATCATGATCCTCACCGGAATAGACTCCGACGGTAGTTTTCGGTGAGTCTTCCGGCGGTTCATCATTTCTCCTCTCTCTAGGTTCTCTCACTATCTCCCTTTTGCAGGATTATGGATGGGGTTTCGTTTGGACCCCCCTTTTTTCTTTTTTTTTCTTTTTTTTTTTCTTTCTCTTTTATTCGTATGTTACTAAAAAGGAGGGTATAGTGACCAAATTACCCTCCAGCGATTAACCTTACCATCCTTTTAATTTTCTATCATTTTTCTTTTATATTTTTCTTAAGTTCTTTTATTCCTCATCATTTTTTCTCTTCCGTCTCATCTCGGATTTTGGTCTTTACGACCTTCAATAAAATTGAGAGAGATCGACTTTTAAGGTAAACTTAGATTTCAAACTTTCAATTGAGGCTCGGGTATTACATAAAGTTTTAAGTTTAGTATGCATAAAATTATGTAACCTAAATTCGATTGACTACATTAAGAGTTATTGATCTACACTGTGCATAATACCTATGGCGTATTAGCTCAGTTGGTTAGAGCGTCGTGTTAATAATGTGAAGGTCGTAGGTTTAACACCTGCATGGGCCAATTTCATAATTTTTAATAATATCTTTTCATGATACGAGCTAAAACACTACGAACTTTAAAAGATAATTACTTTTTTAAGTTTATTATGCATAAAGTTATGTAAACGAAACTCGATTGACTGGTTTAGGAGCCAACGATCTATAATGTGCATAAAACCTATGCTCTATTAGCTCAATTGGTTAATTGTCGTGTTAATAACGTGAAGGTCGTAGGTTTGACAATTACATAGGCCAAATTTCATTAACTTTTAATAATATCTTTTCATGATACGGGGTTATAACACCAAGACTTTAAATCGACGTGACTTGCGAGGTAACCTTTCACAATTTTTCTTTAGATCTGAGCCGTGTTTAAACCGACGTGACCTGCGAGGTAACCTTTCACAATTTTTCTTTAGATCTGAGGCGTGATATGTTCTTCTATGAAGGATGAAATTTGAGGATTTCTGAGAGTCCGGATTTGAGTCGTGATATGTTCTGAGAGTTCTTTCAGGAACAAGAAGGAGGTAGATGAGGATTTGTCCTTTCAGGAACAAGAAAGAGGTAAATGGATTTCTGAGAGTCCGGATTTGAGTCGTGATATGTTCTGAGAGTTCTTTCGGGAACAAGAAGGAGGTAAATGAGGATTTCTAGGATGAAATTTGAGGAGGTAAATGAGGATTACAAGAAGGAGGTAAATGAGGATTTCTGGGATTAAATTTGAGGTGAGGATTTCTGAGAATTCTTTAAGGAACAAGAAGGAGGTAAATGAGGATTTCAAGAAAAGAAGGTAAATGAGGATTGGTAAATGAGAATTACAAGGAGGTAAATGAGGATTTCTGGGATTAAATTTGAGGTGAGGATTTCTGAGAGTTCTTTAAGGAACAAGAAGGAGGTAAATGAGGATTTCAAGAAAATAAAATAAATGAGGATTTGAGTCTTTGAAGAACAAGAAGGAGGTAAATGAGAATTTCAAGAATTTCTGAGAGAATTTCTGGGAGTCTAAGATACAAGAAGGAAGTAAATGAGGATTTGGGAGTCCTTTCAGGAACAAAAATTTATGGGAGTTCTTTCCGGAACAAGAAGGTAAATGAGGATTTGAGTCCTTTAAGGAACAAAAAGGTAAATGAGGATTTGAGTCATTTCAAGAACAAGGAGGTAAATGAGGATTTCTAGGATTGAGTCCTCTCACGAACAACAAGGAGGTAAATGAGGATTTCAAGAATTTCTGGGAGTCCTACAAATTTCTAGGAGTCCTTTTAGGAACAAGAATTTCGGGGAGTTCTTTCAGGTACAAGGAGTGAGGATTTGAGTCCTCTCAGGAACAAGAATGAGGTAAATGAGGATTTCTGGATGAAATTTGAGGTGAGGATTTCTCAGAGTCCTTTCAAGAACTAGAAGGAGGTAAATGAGGATTTCTGGGATGAAATTTGAGGATTTCTGAGAGTTCTTTTAGGAACCAGAAGGAGGTAAATGGGGATGAAATTTGAAGTGAGGATTTGTGAGAGTTCTTTCCGAAACAAGGAAGAGGTAAGTGAGGATTTTTGGGAGTCCTTTTAGGAACAAGGAGGTAAATGAGGATTTTTGGGAATCCTTTCAGGAACAAGAAGGAGGTAAATGACTTTCACAATTTTTCTTTAGATTTAAGCCGTTCGATATTTTCTTTTATGAAGGGGCAAATTCAAGTTCTTTCAGGAAAAAGAAGAAGGTAAATGACTTTCACAATTTTTCTTTAAATCTGAGCCGTTCGATATGTTCTTCTATGAAAGATGAAATTCGAAGATTTCTGAGAGTCCTTTTAGGAACAAGAAGGAGGTAAATGACTTTCACAATTTTTCTTTAGATCTAAGCCGTTCGATATGTTCTTCTATAAAGGGGCAAATTCAAGTCCTTTCAGGAACAAGGAGGTCAATGACTTTCACAATTTTTCTTTAGATCTGAGCCGTTCGATATGTTCTTCTATGAAGGATGAAATTCGAAGATTTCTTAGAGTCCTTTTAGGAATAAGGAGGTAAATGACTTTCACAATTTTTCTTTAGATCTAAGCCGTTCGATATGTTCTTCTATGAAGGGGCAAATTCAAGTCCTTTTAGGAACAAGGAGGTAAATGACTTTCACAATTTTTCTTTAGATCTGAGCCGTTCGATATGTTCTTCTATGAAGCTTGAAATTCGAAAATTTCTGAGAGTCTTTTCTAGAACAAGAAGGAGGTAAATGAATTGACTTTGAAGGCCAGATTCAGTATTGTGAGTGTCAGTAGAGAAAATTTTCCGGCAAGCCACATGTCAACTTACGGGAGGGAAAGCGCATCAGACAACCGGCAAGCCATGTGTCAGACAGCCTGAGGGACACGTATTGACGATCTGGTGGAATAACGCGTCAGGCATGTTGTAAAGTGACGCATCTACACTCGATATACGACACGTGGTAGCTCTCCGACCCACGCTCACGTCTAACCCAGTTTGACTCGAAGGATGTTCGACCTGATCTGCATGGTGCCACGCTTCAATGTAAAGAATTTCACTTCCTAGAGCGCACCTCTGGTTTTGAACCCACGACTCATCAGCAGCTGACCTCTCTTTCTCCACACCTTCTTCAATTCTCTTCACAAGCTCAGAAATTACCTTCCCATTCTCTTCCTTCTCCTATTTGAGATAGAAAGAACTCTCACTCAGCTCCGCCACTTTCTTCTCTAACCTTTCAATCTCCATTTCTAAAAGCTTTCTTTTCTTTTTCAATCTCTACTTTCTCCTTCAAAAGGCGCTCGTTCAGCGATTTCAACGTCTGCAACTGAGACTTCTCCACAGATTTATCCACGGCAAATTTTGGTTGTTGCTCTAAATCTCTGTTCTCCTTCTGATGATCCGAAAGTTTCTTTGGCTCGTTCGCCGATCGCGTGTTCAATCCAGATTCCTTCTTCGATTTTCTCGTGTTCAATCGCGATTTAGCCAAATTTGCTGCGTATCCCCTCATTTCCAACGGCTTCTACCACCTCACAATTACTGCCATCGTCTTTTACTCTACCATGTTCTTTCGCTTTCAGATTTTCATTTTGAGCCATCAAGAGAAGACCTTCGTTTGTTGCGTCATCCAAGGCTAGGTTGATTGTTTCTTCCATCTTTTTATCAGCTTGACAATCTTTTACAAAATGCCCCTCTGCCACAGTTGTACCATTTGTCGAAGTTACAATCGTTTGCATAGTGACCATGTTTGTGACATTTGTAGCACTGAATGTTGGAGTAAATTGATCGGCCGCTTCTTCCTTGACTGCGTCCTCTTCCACGCCAATTTGCTTGGCTCGACTGTCCCTTCTTCTTATAGTATCGTTCATGGATGACCATTTTTACTACTTTCAAGGCCAAAACCTCTACCTTCAAAATTTTGAGAGTGAAGTACCTTTTCATCTTTGATTGACGCCTTGGTTGAAGTGCTTGATCAAGTGTTTCCTCCTTTATCTTCTTACGTTGCTCGTGTGCCTTGAGAGAACCGGCTAGCTCATCGACTGTGAATGTCGCTAGGTCCTTTAACTCTTCTATCGCACATACAACATTCTCAAAGTTGTTGGTTAATGACCTTAAAATCTTCTCCAAAACCCGGGTCTCGGCTAACATTTCTCCATTTCGGTTGAGTTGGTTTACCACAGTCTGTACATGCGTGATGTAGTCAGATACAGTTTCTGACTCCTTCATCTTCATGCTCTCCAACTTGCCACGAAGAGTTTGGAGACGCACTTGCTTGACTCGGTCGATTCCTTTGAATACTTTTCCTAAAGTGTCTCACACTTATTTTGAAGTTGTTGCACTGACAAGCTTCTCAAAGCCCGACTCGTCAACGACTCAGAACAACATGTATAGGACCCCCTTATCCTTTTATCGCACCTCTTTTAACACCTTGTTTCGTGCCGCTGTATAACCCATGGTATCTTTTGGTTCTTCTAACCCTTCTTCGACCACCTCCCATGCATCTTGAGAATCGAGAAAAACTTTCATATGAATGCTCCAATTCTCGTAGTTTGTCTTCGTTAGTCGCGGTAGCGACATTTGACCCGTCACATTCGCCATTGGCTTGATACAAATTTGTTAAAGAAAACTCCTAAATTTGTGAAATAAATCTCACACACACTGACGATTGAAGAAGACAAAGAACACTCTGTTTATCTGAAAAACAATCTTCTATTGCTTCTTTGTTTCTTTATTTTTTTTTCTCTACTCTATTTTACGGTTTTACAATAGTAATAACAAACGTATTTATAAGGTCTTCTAAAACTAAATATAGACATTAGGATGCCATTGTTTCCTAACCCATAAAAAGTCATTGTTTCTGTAAAGATTCTTGGCCTTTCATCTCCAACACGACCTTTTCGTCTAAGACTGACTCTTGGATTTAAAACCCACTAAAATTCTCCATGGGGAATCCGATCCCTACGACTTCCTTGCGATGAATCTCTTACCTTGATCCCCACACAAATAAATAGAGAATTTCGTGGAAATGGAGAATGAAATAGATGGTGGGGATGATGACAGGGAATGGACATCGCTACCTGTGGCCCCTACACATGTTGTGTTTTATGATTGTATG